TTATATTATTTATTATTAATTGATTTTAAATTAAATAAAAATCTTATGTTAAAACTCATATACGTAATTTTTATATAATATTAAAGTTCAAATTCCATTTCTAAAAAATCTATAAGAATTGACAAACCGAGTAGAGTGGCATATTAAGCCATGTTTCTTAAATAGAAACAAACTACTAAACCTTACGTTAAAAACCGCAGGCATGCTCAATTTTCACACATATTGTGCAAATTAATTGCTTCTTAATTATTAACATTTCCGTCACAAAATAATATAATAATCGTTTTTTATTCAAAATTCATTTTAGATTAATTGTTGTAATTATATATATATTTCAAGAAATACAAATATACATTTTTTAATTCAACCTTATTGTTATCTAATCACTTAAATTACTCATCATATTAAACATAAATTTTCTCTTAATTTTTATCTAACTCTTCTTCTTTTTTTTTGCCTGGCCGACTATCTAAATTTTATTAAAGACAATTTAAGTAAAACTAAAAATTTTCTCCAAAATTTTTGTACAAGAAAAAAGTAAGAAAAAAATAATTATTGTTATTACGGGACAGCATGTAGTCTTCCTTTCACAAGAAAAGACAATACAGCTAGGTGTGTTGAGGCTGAGCAGCATCATATCTATTATATACTCTTCACCTTTATATATTTGCTTTGCTTTACTAGATACCTAAACACATAACGATTACCTCACGCTCTGTCCCATAGCTAAAAGGGGGCAGAAAAGAGGATTCTCTCGATTTTGTTTATTAGGTCCTGTTCAAATTAAATTTATATATACCCAAAAACTTATCAGTTCTCTTTTTGAATGAAAATTAATTTATCAAAATCAGTTTTGTTCTTCAATTATACGTACGTGTTGAATAATTAATATTTCATTAAATAAAGATATTGTCCGGGATTCCAATTGCTGCTGTCATATATATTCGTCTCTTGCCATTTAGTAACACGTGCGTTATTTTTTTTATTCTCTATGGAAACCTAATTAAGAATTGATAATTAACCATAATTATCTGGGTTAATATGGACACTTTTTTTTATTACATCAAAGAGCTAGTTGCTTGTTGTTACATATATTTGAATTTCTGATTTTGACTTCAAATCAAGATTTTTAAATTAGTAGATACTAATTTAACCAAACTTTATTAATAAATTAATATGAACACTAATAAAGGTTAAACAGCTTAATGTTGAATCTAATAAAAAATAGAATTTTTCTAACTTATAGGTTAACTGTGCAATTATTGCACTTTTTTTATATTAATTAAGGTTGAAAAAATAAAAGTTGATATTTATTTAAGCAATTATTCGATTAAAATGATTTAGATGACACTTGTGATAAAATTAATAACAATTTTTGTATTTTTTAATATTAATTAATGTGAAAAAGTGCAATGATTTCATTTTTAATTTATTCTCTAAGAGCATAAGTTTAAAAAAAAATCCTAAATAATATAGCCTTGATTAGTTAAACAGTAAGATCTTCCAACTGTCAAGTGGTAATTTCGTTGTTTGCTCTCAGCCATTCAAAAAATGTTAACCTATATTAAGTTTTAAAATTAACAATTAAGGAGATTTGCTTCCACTTTATTGATTAATATTTTATTTCTTGAAAAAGTCGATAAAAATGTAATTCTTCATAAATTCTCTAGTTTTAATATAGAAAACTTCCTTTTAATTAGATTAAAAAGAATTAATTTTAAAATATGGATAAACTAATTCAAAAACATCTTAACTGCAAAAAAAAAGAAAAAAAAAAAGGGCACTTCTCCCATTAAGAAGAGAGGGACTAAAGTGGTTCATTTTGTTTTTAGAGGGATAAGAGCGCTGCCACTTTTCTCTTTCTAAAGGTAAAAAGATGAAAATGTAATTAAACCAAAAGTGTATGTCCAAAATCAATTAATGGACATCATATTCTCATGCTAAGTCTCACCGCGTCTCCATTTGTTATCAGCATCTCATTTCTTAACCACTAATCAACATCATATCCAAATTAAATTGACATTCTCCTTCCCCCATAAACATATACAATCATCAAAAAGAGGCATTTTTTTCTTGCCAAAAACACCAAAGGGGCATTTTCCCCCACCCAAAAGGTAGTCTCTGTTTCAACATCATGAAATTGAGACCTCTTGATTGACTTGAGAAGGTTATTAAATACAAACTTGCCAATTAAACTAATTTATTGGGACTTCTGTCTACCCTCTAGCAACAATTATATCTATATTGCTTTCTTTTAAATTACATAAAGAGGTCAAGTCCACTCCCATCCCATTAACAACAAAGTTAATGTATATGCTTAAAATTTAAATTTA